AAAATTCTAATTTACGTATATGGATTCTAATTTACGTATGTGAATTCTAATTTACGTATATGGATTCTAATTTACGTATATGGATTCTAATTTACGTATATGGATTCTAATTTACATATGTGGATTCTAATTTACGTATATGGATTCTAATTTATGTATGTGGATTCTAATTTACGTATGTGGATTCTAATTTACGTATATGGATTCTAATTTACGTACATGGATTCTAATTTTCGTATATGGATTCTAATTTACTTATATAGATTCTAATTTACGTGTCTGGTTGTAAGAGGAGTTTGAAGGAGTATTAAAAGTAAGCTAAGTTATTCGCCCATCATAATAGAACTCTTCATTTATTTATTTATTTTTTAAAATTACATACCTTTTCCATCCACTTATTCTCTCACAGATGCTAAATTTTAATCAAATATTTACAGAATGAGTTGCAATCAGTAGCATTTTATACAGAAGCGTTTATTTTAATTATTTATTTAATTCATTTACAAATTTTTAATGCTTATTTCTAAACCAGTACCATCCATTTTATACACAACCAAACTTTTTACTGACTTCCATTTATTTTATTTATTCATTATTTTTAATTGAATGGAAGGGGATAGAACATATTCTCCTTACGCTTGAAGAGAGTATTTTGTTTGAAAGGAAAGAATTATCTTAGTATTTATTTATTTATTTGAACTTCTTAGAATGAATTTTTACCTTTCTTTTAAAATGGTGTAGAATAAAAATTGCAACAAGTTTTAAACATTCTTTTTTAATAGAAACCTAAATCTCCTCTCTCACTGTGCTTTTTCTAAACTTAAAAATGCATTCAATTAGAAAAAAAAAGCATGACTCGTTTTTTAAATCTAGATGGCTGCATAAAAAATTTTTTTCCTTTAATAAAGCTTTTTTTNTTTTTTTGTTTTTTTTTTTTTTTTTTTTGGAAAAAACTGCTATAATTTTGAATTACAAAGAATTTTTTAAAAACATAATCTATTTAGTTTTGATTATTTTTCATTGATTATGCGATTTTTTGGCAGAGTAGTGATGGCCTTTTGATAATATTTGGGGATAATGCGTTTTTTTGCATTTCACTGCTCTTTTTACAATACTAAAGCCCGTATATGCAAGCTATGAAGTTTTTTTTTTCTTCTAAGGATCCAATTATACTCCACCCTTTCACTTTGTTTTTTGCACATGCAGCAAATATTGTAAATAGAGCTTTACAAAATACATCCTGCGTTTGAATTAATGGTATAGTTTTCAAATTTCCAGACTGTTTATATTGTGAGCTATTGTTGCTTCTAAAAAATTTCATCGAAACTTCTGCTGATGTTTTTTTTCTCTATCAAATGAAGTATATTTTATTAGTTCGTTTAGAGAAATAAAGATGGCAGCACTAAAGGTTCTTTTATAATATTATTCCTTCTGGAAATGGAGTATCTCAGTATTTCTAAATTGTTGAGAGAATAAAAATCATGCTATTCGCAATTTTTTTCAGATTTCTAAACGGGTTAGTTACTTAACCCTAAAAAAGTATAAACATAAGAGTATTCAAAAATAAATTTCTCTCACTGTTTTTTGTAGGAGGAATGTGCTGATTTTTCTCTTTTTCCCCCCTATTGAATCCTACATAATAAGTAATCTAATGTGAATTATATTTTATAAAGGCTCATCTTGAAATATTTAGTAATTTTAACAGCAGTAATGTAAAAAGCCAATTTTTTTTTTTTTAAATAATATTAAAAAGGTCATTTAATTTTTTTTTAAAGATTATATTTCTAATATACTAAAAGTAGAACAAAAAATTCTAAATCATTAATAAAACACTGAAAGTACCAAATGTTGCAAATTCTGCCAAATCTTTGAAACACAATTTTTATATTTTGTCATCTTGAGGCTTGTTTTTGTTACACTGTTTAAAGTTAATAAATAATTAGTTGCTATTTTCTTTGCTTTTTAATGGAGTGTTATATTAATTGATTTTTGTTACAGAGAAAACAATTGCACTGAAAGTGCTAATGGCAACTATTAATTTTTTTACCTGCAATTATATTTGTTATTGACCTTTTTATTTTACTATTTTTTACTTACTGTACAAGAAAATACCTGTTTATACAGTGTGTCTATAAAATCTCCCTTATTCCTATTTTTATTACAAACCCAGATACCCTAGCATTAGTCTTAAATCATTTGTCTAAAGCATTATATTGTTTAAATATTATTCTGTATATATTATTTTCCACTATTTTGATATACATGCAGAAGCTGGAAGTTATTTTTCTCATTTTATCATAAAATAATTTGCATTGTATATAATGTTTTTACATTAATTTGCACATTTGACTTTGTTCATAAACTTTTTAGCTCTAATTATGTAATTTTATGTTAGTATAATTGAAATTTATAACTGTATTACTCATAGATTAATCCTTAGTTTATGGATAAGGTTTTATTACATAATATTTTGTGTCTGATGGCTCTGAATTCAAAACTAGCTAAATTCATTTTTAAGAATGTTTTGAGTCAAAAAAACACCTGTTGGTCAACTATTAAATGTTTTTGTGTCAAAAACATGTAGGCTAATGTAAATTTTAAAAAATAAACCAACAATATCTTTAATTTGCTGTTGAGCTATATATGTTCAAGAAAATATTAAATACAAATTTAGCATTGTATTTTTTTTCTAATGTTATTCAAAAATATTTAATGTAGATAAATATTTTAGAAAAGAATTAAATATCTTCAAAAAATCAGGGTTGGGTTTTTGACGTCAAAAAGTGGTTTTTGACATGACAAGGATATAATACTGGTTTAAACCGTCAAAAACTGAAGTTTGCCAAGAAAATATATAAACTTCAATTCTACCAACAGTTGCCATGCATTATATTGAAATTTAATTATACTATACAGGGGTCTGTTTAGAAGAAATTTGGGTCCATTAACGGACCCTTCACAAAATATCTTTTCATAAAAACGGACCCTTCACAAAATATTTTAACTTAAAAACGGTCCCTTCACAAAATGATTTTTCTTTTAATCGGACCCTTCACAAATTTGTTTTTCTTCATTATTATTTTGTTAATCGAATAAACACTTTCCAGGGCAGAAAACAAGAAAGATGGATGTAAACGAATTAAGTTTTGTCTTCGGCAGACGATTCTTCCATTATTCGTCCGAAATTAATATTCTGCGTTCAGCAGTATAGGCTAAATACCAAATATTTGTATGTTG